GTAGGGTTGCGAGACTTGTCCACTTCGGGTGGAGGACTGAGACATTTTAGTTCTCTACGTACCGATGTCTTGAAACTGCGAGTGAAGTTGGCTGAATTCGAAAGGAGGTGAGCAGCAGACAGAATCTAGGAGAAATGGAGAGTACTTCCCTTAGAGGATGAATCCAGCATTGCAAGCTAAACTGGCTGGATCGTATTTTATGCATTCCTAGTTGCATTCCGGCTACATTAGCTCTGTTTTGCGTGCTCGAAGTGACGGATAACTGCACGCAGTGTGCATCGGTGTTGACACTGATGTCATGCTGTCGATGATGATGATGATTGGGATGATGATGATGATGATGGTGATGATGATGATAGAGATGGACAGAATTTGACACTGAATAAGGTAAGGAAGTCATGAAAAGTCTGAGTGTTGTTGGTGCTGCTCGCCTTCCAGGGTGGTATACACGTGACCCTCCCCTTGGTTGGCTGGAAACATTGAACGATACGGTGACTAAACCATGTTAGTTGCGTTCATTTTGCCAGTTTCTATCCAGATCGTCTAACTGGACGTTAGAAGTGTAGGCAACTAGAATGTTTGTTTTAGGCTGTCCTTGGACATCCTTTCTGTCCCATTCTTCTTTCCGTTATAGGACTTTATATAAGTAAAGTAACGTAGTTTTCCGATGGTGAAGTGCCAGTGTGCTCCTCTCTTGTTACTGTCAGCGATGATGACGATAAGTCTAGTATTTTGGCTTCCGCGTGAAACTGTCGGCATACATATTTACCCGTCGGAAAGCCACAGGTTAACTCCACATTACTCCCAAACATCATGTTAGCTCTGAACAGCAATCTGACCTTTTCCTATTGATTTTTAGCTTCATTGATCTGTCTGACGTGATCTCTCAGACACTCGGAAAGATATACGAGTGATAGTCTTTGTTCACAATGTGTGTAGTCCTTAATTGGACTACGGGGGGGGGGGGTCAAGACAACATCTGGGAATGCAAGGACATCACGAAACAGTATCTACTGCCGTCCCATTGAACTTCATAAACTGGTACGCGTTGGCAAAATTACTCCAGAAATAACCGGAAAAGTTCGTCAGATGTAAGACAAAATAGCGTTTGCGAAACGCGACACTTGAAATGTTAACAGACTTTGCAGAATCTCGAACAATGTTCGTGGGCGGGATACCTCGGACAGTGCCATTAGCTTTTCAAAATCCAAGTGAACATTATCGGTCTGAAGGAGGTGATATGAATAATGACGTGATAAAAACAAACAAACAAAGTAAATGGTTCAGCCGTGGCATTCTATCCATACATGACTGCCATGCAAATTGAACGAGGTACGAGGGTTAAGCTAATGCCAAGTTATCTGTGGCCAGACAGAGTTCATCAAATAGCAAAAAGATGGCACCACTTTATCTGGTCTTCATCCGAAATGATGGGCACTAGAGAGAAGGGCACAGACTTAAGTCACGGATGTCACATTCAGGCCATTGCAAGACTTCATTCAGATGTAACGCCCTTTCAAGATGACATACGTATGAAGGAACCAAGAAGACTTGGATAGTCTTAAGTTACCGAAGCCCAGACAGAAGCAGTGGAAATGCTGGAAGCGGGTTCGAACCACGGACCTTCCAGTTGATAAGTTTGAGCCTTAATCACCAAGGTTTCTTCAACCTCATCGTCCATTAGCTAATTTTTGGATGAGATCTGCTTTCTTGCAAAGCTATTTATTGGACTGGAAGCAGTTCTATTCCATAATCCGAGCATGGTGGGTAATTAGACCGAAAGGGTTCGAATCCCTGCCTACAGATGGCACAGTTGTGTAAGGGGTACGTAAAAATTCATTTACGCTAGAAAAAGACATTTCAATAATCACGATTATCATATACCGCCCACGTGCAGAGCCGGTGAGTTGAATTAGTTAGTCATTCACTTTTAATTCAGAGTCGCACCAGAACAGTAATCAACCAAGCAAGAGTTAATAGCGAAGCAAAACCACATTCGGACGTTTGAAAAAGCACTCTGAGACTACTGATTAAGCTTGTATGTCTGGCCTTCAAATTAAACCATTTGAAAGAAAGCCAACAAGTTACTACATTATATTACTCATAAGGTTGCCGAAAACCTTTGTACTCCAGCATATTACTACAATTCAGATGAAATTATGCACCAGTATCTTGCGCCACGAATCAGTACAACTCAGCTTGATGTTTTTTCTATAAAGGAAACTACTCACAAGGTTGCTGTAAACTCTTCGACAGCCCACGACCGGTTTCGCCCTTCCAGTTTGGGCTCATCAGGTAGGCGCGGTCCCCGAGTTCCCGTCAACCTTATGATCTACTTGAACCCAAATTGCATAAACGAGAGATTCAATTGAGTCTCCCGTGAAAAGCGAATTGATTTGCAAATGAATGTATTTCTCGAAAACAGTGCAATTTGGGTTCAAGTAGATCATAAGGTTGACGGAAATTCGGGGACTGCGCCTACCTGATGAGCCCAAACTGGGAGGGCGAAACCGGTCGTGGGCTGTCGACGGATTTTCAGCAACCTTGTTAGTAGTTTCCTTTATGAAAATGTACTGCGATATCTCGACAGTTGTGCCAACTGAATCATGAGGCGGCCTGTGTGCAGCACATCCAGCTGGAGGACATCATAAACGAGAGATTCAATTGAGTCTCGCGTGAAAACCAAATCAGTTTGATGTCTTTCGCTCAGGCCGCTGTCATCTCCCTACCTCCCTCTCTCGACCGTCTGTCTCCAAGTGTACACATTAACTATTCATAAGCCATGTCGGCACATTTAAACAAACCGTCAAACCTCAACATTCCGTTTCCCACTAAAAGCCCACCATCCATCTTTCCAAGCAGTATGACAACTGCTTTTCACCAGGGGACATGACATATGTTCCGTAAATTTGTCAACTAACGGTTGTCTGAAAAAAATAATTTACCTCTAGGTGGACGGATGGTCGCGAAGATGTTGTCTGAATGGCGGCAACATTGGTTTTTCGTGCTTCAAAGAAGCGCGTCTGTAAATAGAGTTGAGTTCAGTTGGACAGTCATGTATATATGATCAGTGACAGATGGAACATGCGGTTTGAGGATTTGTCTGCCGGAGTGAGGCGTTGACACAAGACACACCAGCGTGATTCATTTGGCTGTCCACGTGGTCTAAACGTTCGCTGTGAGTTGTCGTTAGTGCTCAGTTGAAGAATATCGCAAGTGACGGATTCGAGTGGGATTCAGTTGGATTTCCTGTTGAAAGCAAATTATTTTTAGCGAATTTACACTCATTTGCGAACTAATATGGTTTCCTGGAAACATCACAAACGAGAGATTCAGCTGGGTTCAAGGTGAGTCTCTCGAAAAACCAAATTAGTTTGCAAATGAGTGTATATTCGATAATTTCGTGCAATTTGGTTTAAAGTAGAACATAAGGTTGACGGAAACCCGGGGACTGCGCCTACCTGATGAGCCCGAACTGGAAGGGCGAAACCGGTCGTGGACTGCCGACTGGTTTTCAGCAACCTTATGAGTAGTGCATTACAAATTAATTTTAAATTGAGTGTATTTCGTGGATGGCGTCTAATTTGGACTGCATTAGAACACAATGCTGACAGAAGATTAGGGTCTGCGCCTATATGATGAATACCAAGAAGGACGAAGCAGATCCTAGGCTGCTCACGCGTTTTCAGCAAGCTTATGAGTAGTATGTTGAGACAAGAAAATGGCGCTTCCCTTCCGTGAAGTTCTGGCAACACATCACATCAAACAAGGCGGGAACCTTCGGGAAGTATACAGGTGGTTATACGTTGAATCAAACTATCTGGGCTTGGCGCTTCTTCTCAGGTTGTATACTCATCTTTGAACATCTTTTTGTACACCAAAATTCTTCCTTAGATTTTTTGGAAGTAATTTAGGATCTCTATCAACGGGTGTTTCAAGTATTTTATGATGGCAACGTCTTAGCAGAGAATAGTGTAACGTCTCAGTGCAATCAATCTGAGGATGCCCTATTAAACACCATCTTCGTTTTCTCCTAAGCGCCACATAATCACGCTGAAAAACCATTCCAGATGTTTTTGTGATAAATCAATACAGTACACAGCTCTAAAGGGAATGCCTTCAGAAGAGATGATTAGTGGAACTGATTTCTACGCCTTGAAATATGTACAGATGAATTCGTTCAAGTTACACTTTGAAATGAGGGCACCGGACAACTGGGGTACACTAATCTCCTAGGTCTCTACAACCGAGAAGTCTTTGTTATTTTTATGCACAGTGTACATAGTAATATATAGTGACGGAACCCTAAAGTTACCAACCTCGAGTCCTTTGCACTTCGTTCTGATTGTCTCGTCTCTATTTTACAAATAGCATCACCTCAACATCGTCCACTTTGTGATCGAAAGCACCATGAGAAAAGGGCACATGTAATCAATATACAAGAACAAGTTTATAGAAGATCTTCACTCCAAACTGGAAGAAAAATTTTCACTGTAACATAAGAACGCAAGCTTGGCAGTAGAAAACATAGCCCAGTGTCACTTGGGTCGACCGCGAGGATCCAACTTACTCCAGTACATCATCATCATCACCATCATCATCATCATCAACATCATCATCCGAATCATCATCATCATCCGAATCATCATCATCATCCGAATCATGATCATGATCATGATCATCATGATCATCATCATCATCATCATCATCGTCATCGTCATCATCATCATCATCAACATCATCATCATCATCGACAGCGTGACATCAGTGTTCAATTCCGATGCCTCATCGCCGCACAACCATGGTTTATTTGAAAGCCTTATTGGAAAGAAAAGAGTAAAGGTGGACAGGGAAGATGGTTAGTGCTGGCTTGCCACAATCACTTTGAAGTGCCTACACCTCCAGACATTCACTCAAGCAATCTGGATAGAAACTGATAACAAGAACGCCACTGACATCGGTTGGCAGCCATATCTTGTAGTGTCTCTAACCAGACACAGTGAGGATCACGCGGTCCTCATCCTGGAAGGCGAGTAGCACCGACAGCACCCAAGCGTTTCGTGATCTCCTTCATACTCCTCTGCCAAGTCAAGGGTTGGCCACCTCCTGTTTACGCCATTCTGAATTGGACATGGAAAACAGCATTCTCTTCGGCAAACGGTTGTTCGGCATATGCAACACATGTCCTAACCAACGCAACTTCTGGGGCTGGACACATTCTTCAATGGAAGTACCCGTTGCACAACCTAACGCGCTCTCTCTGAAGCCTTCAGTTCGGGTTCCCCGACACCACACGAGCTATGGTTCTGCAGTTCACCTTTCACCTACATCTCCGACAAGAGTCGCGGCGACACAGTGGCAGAGCAGATCAACCTCTTTATCAAAGAATGGATGGGTCTACTTCACCCTACGTTGAACGCGAAGTGAGACTACAAATCGTCAAACCATCGTTAGTCGCATAAATCTCGATTCCCAAATTCCTATTGACCACAGTTCACCCACCTCACCCGTCTGAAGCGGTCATTCAGAAACAACTTGCGCGACCATATTCCCGAATTATGAGTACTAGCTTACTATTCTACCCATGAAAACCAGTCGCGCTTGAGCAAAACGTCTGTCTACACTGGCCTCAATCTCGGAAATTCCATCCTGATTTCGACTAACTTCACTCGTTCTTTTCAATGAATGTTAATTCCAGTTAGAAGTCACTTTCTCGCGTGAAAACGTTGACCTTTTCGGCTTGAGTCAATCCATCCTACCTCAGTGATCTAACTGACACTAATATAGCAAAAGGGAGCGTGATAAATGTTCATTTGCTCTTGAAAAGTAATTTGTGAAAGTCTCTGTCATGCCTGCCTTCTTTATGTGTTGTTTGACCGGATGTAGACAATTCCAGCTTGTATATACAGCCTTATTGTAACCGGCCTAGCGGGGGGTCACATCCACATTGGATACTCACACAGAGGTAGACAAGTCGCACATTAGTTTCACGTTTTATTCACGAAACCTGGCATGTGTGTGGTCCGAGTAGTAGACACATGTTGGGTTTGTCCAAAAACCGAAGTGGTCTTCCAACCTCCGTGGTTTTTCACACAACTTTCAGGCGGAATCTACGACACGCACCACTGCAAACACTTCACATTCACATTCGGAAGGAAATGGTAATTTGGCCTCCCGAAAAAGGGTTTATTGATCGTTTGAGTCTGATAAAGTACACGGAAATACAGGTGTAATTGAACCGCAGCTATGCAGCGGATAACCAGGGGACACTGATAAAATGAAATGTGAAACAGGAAACCATTCCCTTGCTCATACAAATAGATATTTCCACAAGTGAGCAACACTCATTTGCAAATTACATTGCTGATAACGAGAATTCCTACCAAATTCCGGTCAACCCGCTCTTTTGTAATATTCAAAGATCAGATCATAGGTGAGCGATTAAGCTGGGATTCACCCGAATCTGCAGATGGGTGTAGTTCATCCTCGTCCAACTGTGACATTCGCCCAGTGTCTCAGATGAAGAAAGCTCGGGGACTGAGATGCTGCAAGGTCGCCCAACCCTAGACAGCATCAGCTGAGTCGCGGTTGGCGGGTTCGAGCCACGGACCTTCTGATCATGATGTCCTTGACTTAACCAACAAGCTATCTCGAACTCAGTGTTCAAGCAGAACATAAGATTGATTAGAAACCAAATGAGTTTCCAGAAGGACGGAAGCAACCGCTTCCAGAACAGTTAAAAGTGGTCTCTCATCAAAATCACAGCTAGTGTCCAGAAAGAAGCCCTCGTGGGAACACCTATAGTCCTAAGCAGGAGACACTGACATTTGATCCGAGAGAGACAGTGAAAAGCTCTGTGTCTTCATAGAGTGGAATCTTCAGGTAAACAGCATTAGACACGAAGTAGACACACGTAAATACACCATGCTCAGGAGAGACAGTAAAACAATCCGGAATTTTCCACTCTGAATAATACAACTAATGCCAATAGAAAAATTGACCAAAAAGGCTTCTGCGGTCGATTAGTTTTCCCGGCGTCAATGCTAACCAGTTTGGTTTGAACATATCATCAGACAGTCACCGAATTGTTCGCTGAGCTGGGCAGTCTGGTTACAAGCGTTCCAACTCCAATCGAGGTGACACGAGCAGTGAAAAATGGGTTGGAGACCTACTGGCCTGAAAAACTGATCATCTTATGCTGGAATGATATGGTTAAGTTTCCACCAGAATTAGCGAATATACACTCATTTGCAAACTAATTTGTTTTTTTTTCGAGAGACTCACCTGGAACCCAGCTGAATCTCTCGTTTATGATGTTCTCAGGCAACTGAATGTGCTGCACCAGGCCGCCTCATGTTTCAGTCGCTACGATATTGGAGATATCGCGATACACGTATATCTTTGTAATGTACCACTTATAAGGTTGTTGAAAATCCGTCGACAGCCCTTTTCCGCCAGAATATTTTGTTTTTTATGAACCGGCTGGCTAAGATACATCTGAGTGGGGCGCACATGAAATAACTTGTACGCATACAAACTGGTTGTCTGGTAGCCTCACCAAGGAATTCCAAAAACTGAACGTCGGTCGCGATTTTTCAATATCATTCATAAGTGGCATGATCAGCATTTCTAAGAAAAACTACGGATGAAATAGATTATTTGCCGGTCCAGCACTATTGAAGATTTCGATTGTATAGTTTCACTGCGATATCCACAAAATCAACGTAACGCGAAATTCATAGCGTAACATCTAATTTTGTGATAAAAGCCGAAAGACTATAATTCAATAGGGGTTTCATCCTGTCAGTGGAGTCTACTTATGCTTAAAAGCGGAGAAGCACTGTAGAGTTTTTCATCCTCATGGGAATCAACCGATTTCATATCATAAGTGGCATGATCAGCATTTCTAAGAAAAACTACGGATGAAATAGATTATTTGCCGGTCCAGCACTATTGAAGATTTCGATTGTATAGTTTCACTGCGATATCCACAAAATCAACGTAACGCGAAATTCATAGCGTAACATCTAATTTTGTGATAAAACCCGAAAGACTATAATTCAATAGGGGTTTCATCCTGTCAGTGGAGTCTACTTATGCTTAAAAGCGGAGAAGCACTGTAGAGTTTTCCATCCTCATGGGAATCAACCGATGTCAGCATCTCAGGAAACTCGGAGAGTTCCGAATCGGTGACCTTCCGTTTGAACACTTGGCCGTTTAGTCACCAGTGGCTGATCAGCAGTGTGATTGGCTCATACTGAGACAGAGCATAGAGGCACATATCCTTCACTAAGGGAAACCGCTTCATGGCTGCTCACGTGTTGACTTCTCAAAAGGAAGTTCCACACATCCAGTGGAATTGTCCTTCCTCTTTCTAATTGGTTTGTACCCTTGGATTCGGTCCAATAGTCGCGGACTCACCAAAGATGGCAAATCCTATCGGAGGAAAACACCGAAAACAAAAATGGTAGCTTCGTGAAGGAAACTACCCACAAGTTGTTTGAAAACTCTTCGACAGCCTTGTGAGTAGTTTCCTTCATGGAAATGTATTGCGATATCTCGAATATCGTACCAACTAAAACATGAGGCGACCTGTGTGCAGCACATTCAGTTGTAGAACATCATAAACGAGAGATTCAGTTGAGTCCCTCGTGAAAACCAAATTGATTTACAAATGAGTGTATTTCTCGAAAATGGTAGCTTCATTGGGTGGATGGTCCGTATCACAAATCCATTCTCCTTGCATTAGAAACCGTCCGGTTGTCATTCCGACCCAGTCAAGCTTTAAAACATCATAAACGGGAGATTCTACTGGATTCCAGGTGTGTCTCCCGTGGAAACCAAATTGATATACACATGAAAGTACTTGTCCAAATACGTCCAATCCGAGTTCAAGTATAACATAAGATTGGCACACACTCGGGGGCTGTGCTCGGCTGACGAACCCCAAGGAGGGCTGTCGAGGAGTTTTCAGCGACCTTATAAGTAGTGTATCACGTCTATGAGGGAAGCTTCCTTTTGAGAAGTTGCTACCTGAGGATCCAGTTAGCATGTCTAACCACGTGATATGGTTTCTGTGACTAAAGATTGGGGGCGCTATAACCTGTCCGAGTGAGAGTTAATCACACTGCTAATCTACCACCCTTGATTGAATAGTTAATTGGTCAACTACTGACCGGTCGCGGGTTCGAAACTTCCTGGAGTTTCTTGAGATACGCGTTGCTTATTACTCCAAATAAGGATGAAATGTCAGTACAGTGCTTCTTTGGTTTTCAGCATAGAATGACAAGACAAAATCTCAGTTGAAGATCACCAAATCTTTTCACTAAATTCGGAGTTCAGGCAAGCATTTTTTCAACTGGAGCTCGGAATCACACCTGAATCTACCTAGGAGACACGTCACATGTAGGTAATGTTGAAGCAAAGTTTGGCTTCCAAAAGGTATTAGAGCTTACTTCCCCCAGATTTTGTGCGAATTTTACGGTAGCCCCAATCCATTAGATGATGGACACTCTCGTATAAACGTATCCACAATTTAGGGACAGAGTGGTAGGATCCCGAAGCCTCCAACACACGGCTTTTTCCCCTCTCCTGTGGAACGCAGACAGCACAGGATTTGCGATCTTTGTTTAGAGTTTTAGCCATAGACAGAAGCACATGGCCACCGAATGCACTCAACAATGAGGTTCAGCAAAATAGTGGACACTCATCTGCCCACTGCCAGGCCAGTCAGAGTGGCGCCTGTGACATCAATGATTTGATTGGTCAGTTAGTTAGCCAATCAGTGAAGAGCTTGCTCACGCGCACATTTCAGCCAAACCGTATCGGCCGAAACGCGCATTCATGTGTTGAACGGCTTGCATACCAGGGAGATTATGCCTAATAATTCATGCACCACACAGTAGTGTCTGATGTTCTCTGACTATGACAAAGGGTCCACTATCAAAACAACTGTACATATTTGTCACTATCTTCGTTGTTGTTACAGCCACTGTTACGGCCGTCACTATAAAGGATATCAGATATATCCGAACGCTTCCACAAAACTCCGTGTTAGTCACCAGACCTCATACCCGCTTAAAAAGGCAACTGGATAGCCAAACGATACCTTTCGCTCAATCCACCGGACTCATCGACTCTCCTGAAAGTCGGACCATTGCAGCTGCTGTTTGCAAAGCCCATTGTCTCAAGGGTTGTGTTGACAACCTGAAGCAAAAAGCAATCACAGATGCGACAGTAAGTTTGTCATTCACTTGAGTTATCCTGGTGCAACTGCTTTTCCTTCCTGATTGGTTCTGGACGGCACACCTTAAATTTCGCGCTGTGGAAAGCTAAGAGAACATCACTCGCTCCCAGATGATGCTTGAGGACTTAGTTTTATCCCGGATTAAATAGAGAGATTTCAGCTTCAGTTGTAAGTGAAACATATGGCATAGTACACGTGAAATCCCCGCTACTGGTTCAAGAGCCATACAGTCTGCAAAGCTCTGTATTTCTCACTAGCACACTGCCCCTCCTTCATATAATCTTGCAATCAAAACCGTTACTATAATTGACTTTCGTGCCCCCTATCAGTTTACTTGTACCTTCTCATCAATAATCGGAGTGAAAAATTCCTTAGTCACTTTCCAGGTGTCCGTAGACGAGGACGAGAGCTTCAAACGATACAATGATAGTCTTGTCTTTTCCTAGTGTCTTTATGGTGTCAGCCTTCAAAGGAAGAAGTATCACTTTGTTCGAATACCCAGAACCGGGGTACAGCGTAGCGCGATCGCGGAAGATCTACAATCGTTTCCTTAGTTTTGGTCAATCGAAACAAGTAGTAGGTTCTCATCCCAATAAGATTTTTCCTGTAGATGAGCTTTGATTGTGCCAGGCATACGTAAGGTTCTACAGCGTAGTATTGAAGCCCATAGCAATGGCAATACGCGTGTGTAGATAAAGTTTAACCCGTATAGTCGAAGCTCCCTAAATGTAGGGCATTATGGAAAAGGTTGTTCCGCAGAACATAAATCTTCATGACAGTCTCCCCGAAGTTGTCGACGATAATAGCGATGGTTGGACCAAACTGCCCAAACGAATCGGAATGATTTATTAACGAACCGGTGCGATTGCGCGGGCTGGATTAAACGTACATGCCTGTCTTTTCCGCATTTATTCTCCGGTCTAAACTGCAAAGTACAATGAAGGGAATTCTGCATTTCTGATGAACAAATAACCTCCGCAACTTAGTCCAATTAAACCACCAATACGGAAGGAACCCGGGGGCGTGGATGAATATTAACTGTCAAACTGCATGACAGCGCAACTGCGTGGTCATCAAACGGACTCGGAAAATAAGGTTTACTTTACACAAATAAAATTTACTCTCAACAAATTTATCAGGATACATGCTGACCATACCTTTTATTCTCAAGCAACAGGGGCTTATTGGATGGAGAGTGCGCAAGTGCATTAAGGGTCGTTAAACTAAAATACAAGTTAACTACTAAAGTGACTGTGCCGATGGCGTACACTACTGAGTAAACATGCAATAGTATGTAGTCCTGTATCAGGTGGAGGAATACATTTTACGGTTGGTTTATTATTGTTTGGTATTCAAATAATATCCAGAGAATTAACGAATTAACTCATCTGCATACCAGTTTGGTTTTGACGGGTATGGATTGTGGAAGAGTTTTCAGTGATCTTACGAGTAGTCTGTTACGTGTATACAATATCCTGGGAATTTCAAAAACTTCGCAAATGATGTTTTTTTTGGTTTCACATCTGATAGCTTGTAACCGCTTAATTTGTGTTCATCCGAGTCCCCTTTCTCTTCACTAAAATGAATGACTGTACAAAGCCCTCCGCTCATTTACACTTTTTTGATAGACTGGTTAAATCCTGCACTCACCGACACGGATATTCTGAGGAATCCTGCTATAGAGAGTTCCTTTCGAGACATTTTGTTGGTCTACGACATCAACATTTTCTTCGCATTTATGTTACGTTACCGTAAGAGTATTTATTTACCGTATTTCCTCCAGTTCTCGCATTCCTGAATACTTCTATGCATCTCCAATCGATAAAATTCAAGTGTCTCAGCCCCTTTCCTGTGAGCTTCCTGTTATAGCAAGTGCCGCACAATATTCAGCTACCTGTAGCCAGTTGTTAATATCATGTCAACACGGTTTGATTGAGTGACAGACTGAGTTTCCGGATATAAGTTAATTATCACGTGATGAATTCTGGCGAAATTTGAATGGCTCCAGGTGGACAACCGATAAACACTACGCAGCTGTTTGTATCTTTACTTTGCCCGTAGCTATTTGTTTGTGTGAAGAGTTTTGGAAATTTTCCACTGAGATTTTGTCATGTAACTGAAGCGAGTCCGTTTCCTCATCAGTGCGAGGGTCACGAAACTCCAGAAGGGAGTTTTGAACCCGCTAACATTTCGAACACCGATCGACCATGGTCGTCGGCTGACGAGGGTTGTGATTAACTCACAAGATCTGATCCCTAATCATGAATCCACATCACGTGGTCACATATTGACCGGCTTCTCGAGTGATAACTTCTCAGACTCACGTTTCACTCATCGTTTCCTTTGAGCAATGGGTGGCCGATCGGCGGTGCGAATATCGGCCCATGGGTATACCAGTTCATCGCACCCTGTCTGGTACTGTGTTTCTGAGTTTTCCCACCAGGTTACTTTGGTCTTGAAAGAAACCGAAGAACTTAGATTTCATTATTTGATGGATGAATGGATCAATTACCGAAAGACAAAGTGGCGTGCTTTGTCGATTATTTCCGACAAGTTTGTAACAGCACTGGGGAGTTTGTCGGTTTGCCAGTACTGGTGGATCGTACGACCGATTTGTAAGAATAACAGTGATCTGTTCGGTGAGAGCAACCACGCAAATAACTTGAGGCCATTTTGAAGGAACGTTTGCCACGTGGGCCTCGTCTCACGTTCTGCTGACACGTGTTACTTCTCGGTCGGACTGATTCGACGGTAACGCCTTGAAGGCTCATCAAAGTCATTTTCGTTGTCATCAGTGTGACTACACCTCATAGATCAAAAGCATCCGGAATGAAATTCTTGTAAATTGTTTGCTTTTTGGGCGTGTCTTGACCGCACGATGCGAGTTTGAACAAAAACTCATATGTACAGAGATACCTTCCGTAGCTTGGTTCAATTTCGGGACTAAGTTACGCACAAAAGTAGCTCTAAACTAGACAGAGTTCTTTAGTCTCTTGTTCATTTGAAAACCTGATCAGAGCATACAGCGACGAACCTAAGAATAGTGACTAACAAGCAGACAGACAGGAACCGGTCCCATCTTTTCCTGCATCCGATCACACACAGGTCCTTTCATTCAGGTGGGCGAGATTTGCAAGTCGCATCAGCAACATGTCAACATGTCTGATCTAAAGTTGTCCATCCTCAAACACATTGTCGGCAGTGCCTGTGATGTTGGCGGTTTCCACCTGACAGCGTCTGTGTTCAACCGACAAATTTATCCGCTCCTCACGCGTCTCTGCCTGACGGATTTTCGCCGCGGAATTTGGCCACAAACGGCCGCACTTATCCGTCTGACAATATTCCACATTGATCTACATCGCGCTTGGATACGGTATTTTCTATCCAGACTAATAATTTTGAAGAAACCATCTGACAAATGTTTCCTGTAGGTCGCTGTGGTGGTGGTGGTGGGGGGTTCGTCGGCGAGGTTACTAATTATCTCATCCAAACTGCTTGAGGAAAATTTTCTCCAAAGTTATGCAGTGCACTTTCTTCTACTTTGTGTGGAAAGGGTGAGCTGATAGAGCGTTTTTTTTATCAGATTCTACTGCTTAAATTGTTTGTGATATTCTTTGACTCAATTGGCTGCACCAGATCGTTTCTTGTTCTCCACTTGGCACGAGGTCTGCAGTATATTTTACTGGCATGGCGTGCTACTGATAAGGTTGCTGATAACTGCTCGCCCCCGTTGTGCACGGCTTGCAGACAACTTTCTTTTGTTATCAGATTGATCGATCTTGCCAAGTGGAACACGAGGCCTGCTTTGTGCAACACATTCGAAAAATATCCCGCTCCTCACGCGTCTCTGCCTGACGGATTTTCGCCGCGGAATTTGGCCACAAACGGCCGCACTTATCCGTCTGACAATATTCCACATTGATCTACATCGCGCTTGGATACGGTATTTTCTATCCAGACTAATAATTTTGAAGAAACCATCTGACAAATGTTTCCTGTAGGTCGCTGTGGTGGTGGTGGTGGGGGGTTCGTCGGCGAGGTTACTAATTATCTCATCCAAACTGCTTGAGGAAAATTTTCTCCAAAGTTATGCAGTGCACTTTCTTCTACTTTGTGTGGAAAGGGTGAGCTGATAGAGCGTTTTTTTTATCAGATTCTACTGCTTAAATTGTTTGTGATATTCTTTGACTCAATTGGCTGCACCAGATCGTTTCTTGTTCTCCACTTGGCACGAGGTCTGCAGTATATTTTACTGGCATGGCGTGCTACTGATAAGGTTGCTGATAACTGCTCGCCCCCGTTGTGCACGGCTTGCAGACAACTTTCTTTTGTTATCAGATTGATCGATCTTGCCAAGTGGAACACGAGGCCTGCTTTGTGCAACACATTCGGTTGAAAAATATCATGAACAGGTGATTTGATTGAGTAGTCTTGTTAACACCTGTCCAATGCGCAGATGAGTTCATTTCATTGATTACGCTCGGGGACAGCGACTACCTGTTGAGCTCCAAGAAGGAAGAAGCCGGCCGTGGATTGTTAAAGATCTTCGACCAACCGTATGAGTAGTGTGTTATGTCAAAGAAACACTCGTCTAATACACTCGTTTGCAAATCAATTTGGTTTTCACGAGAGACTCAACTGAACCTCTCGTTTATGGCATTCTACAACTGAATGTGCTGCACACAGGCCGCCTCATGTTTCATTTGGCACGATAGTCGAGATATCGCAGTCTATTTTCATAAAGGAAACTACTCACAAGGTTGCTGAAAACTCTTCGACAGCCCATGACCGGTTTCGCCCTCTATAGGGCACGCCCGCCCCCGGAGTTGCCGTCAACCTTATGTTCTACTTGAATGAGTGTATTTATCGAAAGCAGTCCAATTTAGGCTCAAATGAAACATAAGGTTGACGGAAACTCGGGGACTGTGCCTACCTGATGAGCCTCAAGAAGGGCAAAACCAGTCGTGGGCTGTCGATGAGTTTTCAGCAA